AGCGACCAACACTTACTATTCCTTAATTATTTTGGATTTTAATGAAATGGCATTCATAATTCATTGATACAGCATATATTTAAGCATCTTAAACCTACAGTATTTTCTCTTTTAAATAAATATAAAAAAATGCTGGTTTGAACAAACAGAATTACTCTTTGATTTTTATTTTTTTAAAGGATAAACTTTAGTTAAGGTACTTCATATGCTTTAGAACAGACATATTATTTGGTTTCCGTAACAGTTTCATTTTCACAAAGTTGGACCATTTATTCAGAGCATAAAGAGACATAGGTAATTGTGGAATTTGTCAATTATTTAAAAAAAAATGACATAAATAGAAATACATGGGATTCAGACAGCTGAAGGATTGACTCCTTCCCATACACATATGAAAGGGATTTTAGCTTTATCAAGTCATTGTAGCAATTTTCACTCCCAGTCATTGGGGTAAAAGGATGCTTCCAACCAGGACCCCTTACTTTCAGATATCATATGCGTAACCCAGTGTGTCACCCATCTGGCATTCAGCATTTGGCATGCATCTGTGCTCCCACTGTTCTCAGCCCAGTTTTTGAGCTGGCACTTCTTCCAACCGAGTAACAATATCTGTAACGCGCTTCCATGCAGAATGCCCATGTAATATGAATTGCCTGGAAAAGGTAGATGAGAATAGTGGGGCTGCACAGATGCAGAGATTAGAAATCCAGAGATGAAAATAAATACATTGCTTTCTCTTTAGTTTGTCCCCAAAGAGAAAAATGAGCCAATTGGCTTGAAACCCAAAAAGATTAATTCCCCCTGCAACCTCATTCCATTCTAAGCATTTTTCCTGAATTGTCAGACTCATTTCCTTCCTCTGCTCCCATCCCAAACGTCTCTTAGTCAAATATGATTTTGCTATTATTACTACTTGTATTACAGGAGGACTAAGTCACAGCTCATGACCTTCATATAATGCCAATGTCAGTAAAACACTGAGGATCGATGTTAGCTTCTGTCTTTTGGGACTGAGTCTACCGAGTCTAGAAATAGAAATAGATAAGCAAAGCATAATTCTTTGTTTCAGGGCTTATTCTGGTCACTTGTGAGGACCATGATTTACCTTTTTTTCCTCTCCTTGACATACTACTACTGTATTTATTCATTTGTCTTCTTCTGTATGTGGTTGTTTTCTTCCATATATAGTTATACAGTTGCTGATTTTGGGTCAGAAAGGAAATTTCCCCCAAGTCTAGGGACTGCTGAAGGCTTGTCAGGGCATTTTAATTCCCTCCTAATGCCAGGGCAGAGAATGATGGCAATGCCATTGGCCTCTCCTGCTCTGTCTCTGTGGCATACTGTAGTTTTCCCAGAGTTTACCTTCAATCTGCTAAAGCTCTTCATTTGTGCCATGGCATTAAAATATGTTTTGTGGGGTTTGGAGTGTGCCCAGCATGAAATGGATGTTCAGGGATACCTCTGAATGAAAATTCGACAGCACAGCTACATGGAATTCCTAGGCTGGGCTCACCCCAAGGGGCACCACGCAGCAAGAGTTGGCTGACTCTGTAAGAGATGTGAACTCTAGTGGTGTTTGTGTTTGAGATATAAAGCCTTCTCCATAAGCCCATGCCTCTATAGAAGGCATGACCGAAGAAATGCACAACAGGGCACAGCAGCTTTAAGACTGTGTATCCCATAAGGGCCACACCTGTCCGGTCAAGATGATACCGGAATATCAAGAGGACAAACAGATACATGTATAAAAAATGCAGTGGGGTGTGGGATAGGAATGAACACTCCCAAACAGTCTGAAAGTCTTATTTTAAACAGGGAACCATGTCTGTCTGAGAATGAACATAATCTGTCTTCAATTGCAATAAATACAACTATGGAACGCCACATACTGTCAGTTTGCCATGGAAACATAAGGATCTTAAAGAAAAACATGGTTTCTAACCCATGTTTGGAGTTGACATTGCAGCAAAATTGAGCAAATGAGAATTGTTTGAGAAACATAAATGAAACTAAAGCGCATAACAGATTATAAAATCACTAGCTTAATAAACATAACAAAAATGTAAGCACAAAAAAAGAACAACACAATTTTGAGGTTTGATGAGTGGGTCAGTAAAATGCCTTAGAAATGCCTTAGGAACAATCAGAATGTTCCATTTCCCAATTAAATATATTAGAATGTGAGCAGCATTCAAATATATTTAGATTTATTGTAGCTGAAAATCATTCTTATTTGACCTAAATTGTAATAAATGTAGTTAGCTGAGATATTTAAAGGAATAAAACAGTAAGTTTGTACAAAACCCAGAACTGTATCACAGTACTCTGTTAGGAAGAAGAATTTAATATTTATGGAGGTGAAATAAATGTAACAAGACCAAAGAGCACAAAGGAGAAATGCTGATTATATTTATGGATGTGCATTGAGAGATGCAAAGCAAATGTAGGAAGGTGTATTTGCTCTTGACTAAGAGTGATAGAGGAAACTGACTCACTAAAAGAGGCATGCACTAAATTCATGGTACTGCTTTTAATATGCATTCAAGAAAAAGGATAAAAAAGCCATTTCTGACAGGAATCATAATTTAACTCTAATTTATTCTACCCTTAAATCCATAGATTTTTTGGGGAAAAATTGATCTGTTTTTGAGAAGGCTGTCCCGATAAAGCATAATTCTGAGAGAGAATTGACTTACAAGTGACATTGTGGAATTAGTTCATTATGTGCTCCTCGATGTAACTAAATATTCACTGGTACTTGTGTGTCTACATACAGGCAAGATTTTCATTTGGAAGATGCATGTCTCTGATCATTCCTTAAATTACATTTTCCTTTCTCTTCTAGAAGGAACAGACTCAAGGAAACAGCTTCTCTTTAATGAACATGAGAACAAAGGCAATTCTGGGAAGCACAGTTTTCAGTTGTGGCAAACAGAAGCTGATTTCAGATACAGAATTGAAAAACTAGAGTAAATTTCCTCGAAGAAACAGTTACATATCATAACAATTTCTCAAATCTCATCCTTAGAAAGAGATGGCATTTTTTAATGTTCTATCTTAGCATGATTTTAACAGGAATAGTGATTTAGAAAGAGTTGCACTGATTCACACTAGCTAAGAATCTGCTCCAGCAAGTCTATGCACAATCACAAATTTGAAACCATATTGCTGCATCAGGCATTTAGCTAAATATCTATTCAGAAAAGAAGCGGGAAAGGCTACAAACCAAACAGTCCTTTCTTCTTGCTTACAAGCAAATAAGGATTTTCTCGACGAACTTTTAGAGCAGTTACAGTCTATTGCTCTTCAAAAATTGCTAACAGGAACATCTAACTTTTAAAAATAATTTGTAAAAATCACAAGCAAAGCTCCTATGAGTCCCAAACTCTTCTCGTTAATAAATAAAGAAAAAAAGCAAATGAAAACTAAGACACCATTGTGGTTTATGTGAACATATGGAGGGTATTAACATGTAAGGAAATGAACTGCGCGTACTTTTGGAGTAGAAACATACACATAAAGAAATTAAGAGTAAAGACAGAATTCAGGCCAAAATAGTTCACACAGTACAACACAAACACATGCACCAGTCAGTTCCAGTAAATGTATTGAACATGGTGCCAAACAAAGCCAGAAATGTGCTGCACAGCCAGCTAGATCTTGTTTAACACGAGATGGGGATCACAGGGAACACAATGAGGAGACCAGATTTAGAGCTATTTAACAAAGCTTCCTTACCATGCCAAGAAGCTTTTTTTCTGCTGCCCTTTAATATTTGTCAAATAGAAGTGGAGTATACTCAGTTTGCTATTTAAAGACTCGTATCAGGCTGTAATTCTAAATAGAGAATGTGAAACATAGATGTCTTTGGGAAGAATTTTCGTCTTGAAACTTATCGCTGCTTCCTGCTTCTTTAGCCCAGGGTCTGTTTCTCACTAACTTATGGCACTGTACCAATTTCCGAAGAACACATGCTAAGGTTAAAGGTTTCTGTCAAATCAGTTCCACATCAGATACCGTGATGTCATATGTTAAGACATCTCCAGGATTTATCTTAGCATTACATAGTTTTGCATAAAGAAAGAGGCCAGTCATTGCTACTGGCTTCATCCCTTTGCATGAGGTGAGGGATGAGGGGGGGGGGGGGGGGAAGGATTATTTCCACAATAAATGAATGAATGAACATGAAAAAATGATATAATAATGCTGGAGAAAAGGCTTCCTCCTACAAGGGGCAGATATTAATTGAATCAAATTAAAATTCAGTCAAAGCAGTGGAATTTTGAAAATGAATCATCGCTTCACACATTTATTTAGACCTTGTAATGTGCCTTATTTGAAGTAATTCCTAGGATGCTATTGGAGTCAAAATCAGCAATATTCAATGAGTAGCCTCTGAAAAACCAGCAGAAAGAACGCTCTGTTTTCTATGGATATGTGTTTCCAGATTAACTCTTGTGTCTAAGAAAATCCCAGCTCTGTTTGAAATTCTTGCTGCTGCTTTGGCATTTATAAAAGTGTATTCTCTTCTGCTTTATAAGTAGTAAATGCATGGTGCCCCTTTCTTACAATTAAAGTACTAATAAGAATCTCTCTTTTACTTGGCCACCTGTTTTCTTAAGCCATTTAGAGAACTAATTTCTAATTTCTGTAGGGGATGGTGAATTCAATCAGATTTGGTTGAAACAGATGTGAAAATTAAAGGAAAGAGTGGGGATTTATAGGGAGAGTAAGAGCTATACCTGTGATTGCATAAGATGAATTTCCTTAGGAAATTACGCTAAATAGATGTATACGTCCATGTTTGGTCTGGGTCTTATCAGGCAGGTTATTACACTAGATGGAAGCAGACACTAATCCAGTCCAGCAGTTAGTATATTCCCTACATAAAGAACATATGTTTAAATATGTCTATATTGATATGTGAGCATATGTGGAATAAGTCTATTGGAACAACACTGAAGTTACTTGCTTTCTTTTTTTTTCCCCGACCTTTGCAGAGTATTTGGTGCTGCTATACTGCTGACATCCTCCCTCAACATGTTAATACCATCTGCAGCCAGGGTGCACTATGGGTGTGTCATCTTTGTTAGGATCTTGCAGGGCCTTGTAGAGGTATGGAAAAATATGTTATAAAATAACCAGTAAATGTGATAGAAGCTTGTTAGCTTTTAATTAGCAATTGTAACTCTTCAGGGGAAAATAAAAATTGCTTTCAGTTTATTACTGATTTTTGGTGCAGTGGATTTCAATGTATGAATTACAGCTATCTGACTTCCCTTCACCTATAAAATTACACAGCAAAGTTTTCCCTTGCTGAGAAGCCAGTGAGATATGTATTTAATACTGAAGTTTCACTGAAATCCTGTACTGCATAGGGTTTATACTGGTGTTATTCTCAAGAGTTATTTTCTGTCCAGCCTCACAGATTAAATCTATAACACAGAATTATTCTATCACAGGCCCTGACCATGCTCTTGTTGGTATGAATGAGAGATTTACCGTGATTTAAGAGAGAAAAAAATTGAGCCTGCCTTCTAAATTTATTTGGTTTTTTGTGTCTTTACTGAAAAATAGATTTTTAAGCCTGTGATCACTGGTTCTTTGTTCCTCAGGGCTACACACTTCTGTAAATCTATAACACAGAATTATTCTATCACAGGCCCTGACCATGCTCTTGTTGGTATGAATGAGAGATTTACCGTGATTTAAGAGAGAAAAAAATTGAGCCTGCCTTCTAAATTTATTTGGTTTTTTGTGTCTTTACTGAAAAATAGATTTTTAAGCCTGTGATCACTGGTTCTTTGTTCCTCAGGGCTACACACTTCTGTTGCATGAGCTGATTTTAAATCATGTGCTTTATTGTATAAAAAGACTCCAAAAGAGGGTGCAGAATGTGCCTGAAAGTTAGGGAACCTTCAATCAAGTTCTTAAAGTATACATGTGTAAATATGGATCCATTCCTTTGCCAAAAGTTATTAATTTTTTTCTACTTCTTGCATAGGAAACAAAACATTAAATTAAGAGAAAAGTTACTCTATATAACTATGCATACATCATAATTCTTAAGCATGAATTTTGTGAAAAATTAATGTATATTTCATATTAAATTTTCTAAAATGTCAACACTGCAAGACGCTGTGATTTCTGTGTAGTCTTCCTATCATTAAGCTAAAGGCTGGTTTTGAAGAGAAACCTAAATATAGATGGTTTAAAATCAAACCAACTAATATCAGCCAATTATTTGTTTTAAGTGCTCTAGAAGTTTCATTAAAGACAAAGGTAGTGAAAAACTTCTCCCTTAACATTGTATTTTTAAGCTCTTATTGATCTTATTTTCTAGTTTTAGAGCAGTGGAACAGTAATCTGTATTTCCTAAATTATACTTTAAATGTTAGATCAAAAAACGTTAGAAGGCCACCAAAGCTGAGGGTTGGAGAAATGAGCCCAGCGTTAGAAAGACTCCAGAAAACATTCCAGTGTTTTCATCTTTCCTTTGACTCTGGTACTTGTGCATTAAGATTTTTTTCTTTTTAATTCTTTGCAGTTCTTTCCTGGAAGGGGGACGGGGAGCAAAAGGAAATAATTATGTTTTATATCTGTTTCATAAGGCCTCTTTAATGGTTTGGAGTGATATACAAAAGCCATTTCAGCTTTAATAGAAATTGAAGTTTTTCTATGGCTGTGCTCAGACTTCACTATAGAAATGCAAAGCGTTCTCAACTTCTTGTTTGTAGCAATTAAAAAAGAATAAATCATGCAAAGACAATGAACTGAGTGATTGATCAGCATTAGCTAACTTGTGGCACACCCATTCCCCAGGGGGTCACCTACCCTGCCTGCCATGGTATTTGGAGCAAGTGGGCCCCCCCATTAGAAAGAAGTAGGTTAGCAACCACTTCCTTTTGTGGTAAGTAACTTTCTATTTTATGTCTTTCTTTCATTTGAAATGTAAAAGTATTTTGAGACTGAATTTTTCTCCCTTTTCATCCACACGTGTCTTGTTTTGTAGGTTCCTATGCAGGAGCTGTTATTGCAATGCCTTTAGCTGGAATTCTAGTGCAATATACAGGGTGGTCTTCTGTGTTCTATGTGTATGGTATGCATTTTTGCTCATCTCACTCCAATATTGTATGACCTTACTCTACCCTTTCTAAAAATGTAAAAGCTACAATTAAGAGGCCAGAAAAAAAGAGAAGTGGGTCTGTAAAGCTAAAAATACAGTCTAGAGAAAAGGACAATGAAAGAACAGAATTTAAAGGAGAGAGTAGGAAAGCAACATTGTTAAATAAGAAGAGAAGCTAGTTCATGGTGAAACCTTCATCACTTCCAGTACAAGTAGTGCAAACTGCTATGCAGATCGATAGAATCTCAGATCATGTAATGTCTCACTTTCATTTATAAAACTGTAAGTTTAGAGTACCTGCCCTGACTAAGATGCCCTGATTTTTAACTGAAGACCAACATAACTTCATTCACACTAGTTGTGCTACCTTAACTTACACTGATGGAAAAAAAATGTCCCAAAGGAGTTCATTCTGCAGTGTAAAATTGATGTGAATTAGGGGGAAACCTTAGAGAAATTTAATAAATTACTCAGGAAGTGCATTGCTATGTTGAAAACAATCCTACAATCTTGTATTTTGCAGGTAAAAAATTTAGGGCAGTAATCAGCAACAGTGGCTTAAAGCAGAATGGAACTTCATTTACAGTCTGGTGAAATGAAATAGAAGCTGTTTCATTGCATTGCATTGTACAAATTGATGTGGAAACCTTAGAGAAATTTAATAAATTACTCAGGAAGTGCATTGCTATGTTGAAAACAATCCTACAATCTTGTATTTTGCAGGTAAAAAATTTAGGGCAGTAATCAGCAACAGTGGCTTAAAGCAGAATGGAACTTCATTTACAGTCTGGTGAAATGAAATAGAAGCTGTTTCATTGCATTGCATTGTACAAATTGATGATAAAATAACAGTGAATATTCACTTACAGTGAAATAATTCTGTAAATGAAACAAAGAAGACTTCACTGTGGTCCAGCTCTGCATGTGTTTTGCACAAATATTGTTTGCAGGATCTGACTGTCTGTTAGAATGACTCAGTAGAAGAGCAGTAACAACAATTGCCATTTAAATTTGTTACAATCGTTCACAGATTTTTTTCCTTGTTTGCTGCTTTACTGTGCATCTTTTTAAAGTCTTTCTTTCCATTCCAAAGGGAGCTTTGGTATAGTCTGGTACATGTTTTGGCTTTTGGTTTCATATGAGAGTCCTGCAAAACATCCTACGATCACAGATGAAGAAAGGAGATACATAGAAGAAAGCATTGGAGAGAGTGCCAACCTCCTAGGTGCAATGGAAGTAAGAATACTACTCATACACTTGTTTCCTATGAGATAGTAATAAAACCCCAAAACCCCAAATAGAAACAACAAAAAAAATCAAACATCCTTCTTCTTTAAGACAGAAAAGCATGTTTCAAACAACTGAATTTTTTTGGGGGTGGGGAGATCTGAAATCTGCTGATGGATTTCTGAGTGGATATTTCTTTTGCATGAAGAGGATCATAGAATCACAGAATAGTTTGGGTTGGAAGGGACCTTTAAGGGTCATATAGTCCAAACCCCCTGCAGTGAGCAGGGACATCTTCAACTAGATCAGGGTGCTCAGAGCCCCGTCCAACCTGACCTTGAATGTTTCCAGGGATGGGGCATCTGCCACCTCTCCGGGCAATCTGTTTCACCACCCTCGTTGTAAAAAATTTCTTCCTTATATCTAGTTTGAATCTACCCTCTACCCTTTAAGTACTGAAAGGCTGCAATAAGGTCTCCAGTTCTTCTAGCAGATCACTCATGGAATTTATGCCTCTTTTTCTAGTCCAAAGTATAAAAAAAACCCCTACAGCTACATTTGAAATTGCAGCTTTATTGACACTTTCATAGTACCTTGAGTTCAAGTGGTTAATTTCCTTCCTATATAATCCCTCCTGGAACTCTTCCTAAAAGTACACTGGAGGAAAAGCACTACTCAGTGTCTCTTGAGGTCCTCAGAACATCAGAAAAAAAGCAAATCCTGACTATTCTATGTTTCATTTGCAAGAAAGACTGTAAGTTGCAACAGAGCATGCTAGGAGAGCCATAGGAACATTCCCCATTATCATGGTAACTTTGCTGGAAACACGCTGTCAGGCCTGTCATAATCTGACTCAGTTTTGTACTGGGTTAGTTCTCAAGAGTTCCTAAAAAACCAGCTATGAATTCAGAGAATTTTCTAGCCAGCCACTTAATAATCCTATCATGCTAAATAATAATTTTCTTATTTCTCTATTGAAAACCTTAAAAGAAACTATCACCATGCTTATGAACTCAAGAAAGTAAAAAGATTTTGGTTCTTAAGCCTCACTTCATCTGCTCAAATTTTTATACCACCCATTCCCAGTAGACCCTCGCTACCACTCTTCATTATGTTTTCTAATTGGTCAGAATATTGGTTCTTGATTGAACTCAGGAATAAACTGTTTTTCTCTTAGTAAAAAACCTTTGATTGAGATTAAATAGGGAACTGGAAATATTACAGAGTCATTTCTTTGATAGCTGACATTTTTAGGTGTTTTGAGGGAGTGTCTGGGTTGATATCCAATAGCATTCAGCAGCGTTCATGGTTTCTTGTACCTATAAATGCTTTTGAAAATCTGACATGAAATGAGATAATTCAAAGGATGTCCATATAGTTCTAACTTGGGCTGGATAATTTCTGTCTATTTTTTATTGTTGCTTTTTAATTAAACATTTTTTGGAAGTGATTAGTTTGTATCATTCAGTTGCTTCTAAAATATTTAGGCTGAAATTTTTCCCATAGTATCAAGTTAGCTTTTCTGGCTGGCTCCACATTAATTAAGTCATACTTAATCCTTAGCTCTCACTTACGTGTAATTTAATAGGTATACAAGGTATTGCATCTATCCATCTATGGGCTGTTTTTCTTTGAAGAAAAGCCAGTATTTAAATCAACAGTAGACTAAATTCAGCCTGAAACCTTGCTGAAGCGATTTTCAAACACTCATCTGGGTCTGGATCCCGTACTTGGATCAACACAGATGGGCAGAACACTAGGCTCATGGAGAGGTGCTGGGACTCAGCAGGATTGCAGTTCTGTCCATCTGTCTTTTTTTTATTTATTATGCAATTCATTTTAAAAGTACAAGAAAATAAACAAAAAAATACATTGACCAAGCAGTTTCAGCTGAGGTTAGATAAAAAAATTATTCAGAATGCTGGGATTAAGATTTAAATGTTAAAATACATCCTTAAAATAAATCTGGATGAAATTGTGTACTTACAGTGTAAAATCTGACTGTTGCCTTAGATACAGCAACATTGTCTTGTAAAGTCATATTATTATTTTGGACTTAGTGTGTTCATATTTACACGATTGAGATAATGGCACTTGTACATAAGTGTTATGATACAGCTAGGTATCACTGAGTTTCTCCACTTGTGCATTTTGTAGTAATTTTTACTTGCTTATGTTTTAAATTAAATCTTGATCATCCAAATGTTGATGCATGTACTTTATGATAATTGAAGTCACTGGAATTCAGATACATGAAGCGGTGCATATATGAGCTTGTTGGAGTATAGGTAAAAATAACAGATAGGAAAAGGGAAGATAGACAGTTGATAATGATCAAATGGTGATTGGATCCCCCTTTCTATGTTTCAGAAATACAAAACTCCATGGAGAAAATTTTTTACATCTATGCCAGTCTATGCAATAATTGTTGCAAACTTCTGTAGAAGCTGGACTTTTTACTTGCTGCTTATTAGTCAGCCTGCTTACTTTGAGGAAGTGTTTGGATTTGAAATAAGCAAGGTATGTAAAAATAATATAAAGCTTTTATCTTAGCTAAGTAAATATCAGAGTTACGTTTGTGTTATTTATTAGGAGGAGGAAAGAAAAGTGTTCTGTGTCTTTATCATGGGTTTACAAGTCTTAAATCTTATCCCTCCCAGTTAGCGTTCCCTTGACCAGCACATCTAAGTGAAGTAACAACAATGACAAAGGAAGGTGAAGGCGGGATGAGATTTAGTGATGATTTACTTGGGGCCATATTGCAAAAAGACCTTCAGTTAAGTGCTTGAAACCAGATCATGCATGGTATTAGAAAGGTATCGAGACAAGCATTACACTTCTGTCCCTGACACCCCAGGGGATGCAGGATCCCACTGAAGCTGTAAAGAAAACTTTGACAAGTGGTTCCATTTTTCCAGGTGCATTTTACAAAGCAGGACAACCTAGTTTTAGGAAGGATAGTACAATTTATCAACTTTCTATATCCCCCTTTAATGTGGTGAGAACTGTTCCCCCTTTTTCACTTAGGAAGCGAAAGAGATGGTGGCAAAATATGAGAAATAGGGATGATCTAAGGCTCCGCATAATTCATATGAATTTTGGATCAGACCTGTAATGTAAATATGGATACATGCAAACAAGCCTTCAGAGTGTATAGGAAGCTTTCAACTAATACAGATTTCCTTCTTGTGAAAGTGACAGGGGCTTGTGCTTTTGGGAGACCTGTATTCTTTTGATATTGTTCCATGAGGTATTGGCACCCTAAATTGTGGTGGAAGTGACAATTAGATGAGTAGCTTCCAAAGTGTTGCCGTATTATGGAGTATTGTCGAAATTACATAATGCCACCTTGCATTTAAAGATGGGCTTCCGTCTTTAGCTGGAGCTATTTTAAGAAGCTTTGCTGTGCTTGAAACATCATCTGTTATGCATGCAATAAGAATGGTCATATCCTATAGAATTAAACTGATCATTTTGTTCTAGAAGACTTTTCTTAGAGTGTATTCAAAGAAATGCAGAGCTTTGTAAACGATGACAGCAAAGTCAGTTCTCACCTGCTGTGGATATGGATGCTGATAAATGAATAGTTATTATTTAGTCAGGAACACCTCAAAGCAGTAACTGCAATACCATAGTTACCTCATAGTTAATGTCTGGCTTATTGGGATAAACATCTATTAACATGAAGCTAGCTGTCACAACATAGTTGTCACATATATAAACTGCAGTGAAATACACAATTTCACAACTTTAATTGAAGAGCAGAGAAAATTGTTTTCTTTTTGTTCTCATGGAGTCAGTCTGCTCTGGACGCTGATGTAACTCAAGTCAGACATCAGGCCAGCTGATACACTGTTCAGACAGGAATTATGCAAAAACCCCTGTGCTTAAGCACTTTTTCAGATATACACAATAAACAGAATTCCCTATCAGAACAAAATGCCATGCGTACTAAACCAAACTATCTGCAAGGCAGTTATGTTGACAGGAGATAGCAGGTGGCAGTTCGTGCCATGCTCACAGATACCCTATCCTGTTTTGAAGGAATGGTCTTCAAATATATTATTATATCTTGGAACAGTCATCACAAAATTACTATGTCTTACTTTGCTAGTATGTATAGCACTTTGAATGTTGTCGATGGATATTTAGTATGTTATCTTTCACTACGTATGGAGTTTCTCAGACATATCTTTTGCCCACGTGAAATTTGAAGCTTGAGGGATGGTCAGAAATCAAAGGCAAATGGCCGCTATGCATGTGAGGATGTAATCCACAGGGAATCTGTCTAGACATGTTGGGTTTGCTGGGCAATGCTACGCCAAACACATCACCAATAACAATGTAGCAATTCAGTTCAACATATCTGATCATAAATTTTCTGAAAAGAAAGGGCAGAGGGGCTGTAAGTCAGGGGAAAAAAGCCATTAGCTTAAATATAAACTGTGAAAACAATCTATAAACAAAAAGTGTCACGGCATCAGAGGTTCTTAAAAACTTGGGCTGTCCTTCATAAAATACAATGACAACTTAAGATCACCAGTTTTGTTCATTTAATAAACCAAGTTAAAATTTTTAGTTTTAGCACATAGCCTGAAATTGAAGGGAAACAATTCGTTGCTGAATGCTTCAGAAAATGAAGAATCGATGTTTTCTTACAGTTTATACTCTGCTAATTCTAATGATCATTTTAGGTGGGTATCTTATCTGCTGTGCCGCATTTAGTGATGACAATTATTGTTCCTATTGGGGGACAAATTGCAGACTTTTTAAGAAGCAGGCAGATTCTTTCAACCACTACTGTGAGAAAGATAATGAACTGTGGAGGTAAGTAAGTTAAAATTTTTAGTTTTAGCACATAGCCTGAAATTGAAGGGAAACAATTCGTTGCTGAATGCTTCAGAAAATGAAGAATCGATGTTTTCTTACAGTTTATACTCTGCTAATTCTAATGATCATTTTAGGTGGGTATCTTATGCCGCATGCCGCATTTAGTGATGACAATTATTGTTCCTATTGGGGGACAGCCTTTTTAAGAAGCAGGCAGATTCTTTCAACCACTACTGTGAGAAAGATAAGAACTGTGGAAGGTAAGTCTTCCTATTTTATTAAAAAGCTTCTTGTACAGGTTCAATGTCCATATAGTATGCTGTATACAGTAAACAAACAAACTGTGCAGTTTTATGTACTTATGAATCAATACTTTGTGCATTTTTTGTGTATTACAGATGTCTTCCTATTTTATTAAGAAGCTTCTTGTACAGGTTCAATGTCCATATAGTATGCTGTATACAGTAAACAAACAAACTGTGCAGTTTTATGTACTTATGAATCAATACTTTGTGCATTTTTTGTGTATTACAGATGTGGTTACTAAATAAAAGTAAACACGATTGTTCCTGTTCCCAGTTTCAATATAGATGTTTGGTATTTGAAAAAGCATTCAGACTGTTAAAGAAACAGATGGGCTTTTTGGGGGTAATTTGCCTACCCTTAGCTACTTACTGAATCTGAGCTCTTCATCTAAACACCCTCTGCACTAAGAGAGCCCAGACAACTACCTGAGATTACATATCTGACTTCCAAGAGGTTAAAGTCACATGAGCTGAATCCTGGCTGTGTGTCGCAGTTTAACCTCAGTGGGCAACTGAGCACCACCCAGCTGCTCGCTCACTCCCCCCCCGGTGGGATGGGGGAGAGAACTGGAAGAGTAAAAGTGAGAAAACTCGTGGGTTGAGATAAAAACAGTTTAATAATTGAAATAAAATAAAATCCTAATAATAATAATCGGTAGAGCATGGGAAGCTGAAAACTTCTTGGCTAGTGGAAGCACTGCTCAGCAACAAAACCATCGGTGTGTTATCAACATTATTCTCATCCTAAATCCAAAACACAGCACTGTACCATGCCAGGAAGTGCCCCCTCCCAGCTTCTTGTGCACCTCCAGCCTTCTCAGTCGGTAGAGCATGGGAAGCTGAAAAGTCCTTGACTAGTGTAAGCACTGCTCAGCAACAACTAAACCATCGGTGTGTTATCAACATTATTCTCATCCTAAATCCAAAACACAGCACTGTACCAGCTGCCAGGAAGAAAATTAACTCTATCCCAGCCGAAACCAGGACACTGTGATAAGGGTTGTAAAATTCATAGGCAGGTTAAGCGTATATTTCCATTAGGGTTGGCTGGAATGACCTGACCAAATCACAAGTATTTCTTTTCATCTTAAAACTGACAGGAAGTAACAATAAATTAGCATCCGAAGAATAAAATAAGGATTATGTGAGATAGCAAGAACATGTGTTTTTTAGGGATGAAAGAAATACCTGATTATATTCCACTCTGAGGTAATATTTTGCTGCTGTCTTCCCATGAAATATTACCATATCCTAAGGCCTGCAATATTTGAGAGGGAATTAAATCTGATGCCTGGTTTTCTTTATGATTTCCCCAGGTTTTGGTATGGAAGCAACTCTTCTTCTCGTGGTGGGATATTCTCACAGTAAAGGAGTGGCTATCTCATTCTTAGTGCTTGCTGTAGGCTTTAGTGGATTCGCCATATCTGGTAAGATTATATTAGTGTTATTAGTAAATTATTTTATCTTAAGAGATAGAATATCTCATTGGGTTTTTATTCATTGACAGTAATTTAAACAATCCTCAGAATTCCAAATGACATGATTTCTGATCATTACAAAGGAAAGTACAATCAGTACCACATCTTCTATATTAGATTATTTTTGTTGAAATGCTTCTATCTTTTCCATATTCATTGCAGCAAATTAGACTTTCTTTTCAGTAAGGTGTTAATGTACACCATAGATTTTTCTTGAAATCAAACACATATTTAAACAATCCTCAGAATTCCAAATGACATGATTTCTGATCATTACAAAGGAAAGTACAATCAGTACCACATCTTCTATATTAGATTATTTTTGTTGAAATGCTTCTATCTTTTCCATATTCATTGCAGCAAATTAGACTTTCTTTTCAGTAAGGTGTTAATGTACACCATAGATTTTTCTTGAAATCAAACATACAACACAAATGGACTGATATTATACAATGATACCTAAATTTACACGTCTTTGTTTAAATATAGGCTTTTTACTATTTTTTCCCACTGTATATTAGTTAATGCTTTGTTAGTGTTGCATTTTTTTATTACTTTGGGACCTAATTACTAGCAATTTTTTTCTGATTTAAAGTTCAGCTCTTCCCCTTTCCTGCTGATATATATAACCCCTTTGCCTTTGCCTCTCCCAAACACAAGTCACCTGGCCTTCCCTTGTTTTCCCACTGTGATCTTCGCATCCTCTCCCATGCTGGTTCCTTATGTCTAAAACAGGCTCTCTTTTCTTTTGTGCCAAACATCTAAACTCTCCTTAATCAAATCTGTCCTTAATCCCACGTATTCTGCAAGGTATTATACCTGTTTTGTACAACTTGAAAAGTGTATTGCACTTTCTCTAACAGTTATCCATATCATACTGCCTGCCTTTTCCCTTTTATTATCTTTCTGTATCCAAAGATTTGGTTTCTGTTTTCACTTACTTAAGTGCTTATTTTGGGGACAATGAGTTCTGTCACTTCAGAGAAGCATGTGTTTTTTCTAAGATTATTTAAATAGCTACTGCATAAATTTGAACAGAATTAAGCTGCTGGAAATGCAAAAGAACAAAGAAATATTTATAAAAATAATTCATAAATCATTTATACATACTGTCTTTTTACTTCCTTCATTTTACCACTCAAGAACAGAAGGGAACTCCCTTCTGCTGGTCTGTGTGACAAAAAGAAAAATGTGGGCAATAGGAGAGGAAAGTGGTACCAGCTGGAAGAAGAAATGATGTGTTATTGACAGCATGAAATGGTCATGAATGACACTACGAAAATATAAACTTTCTCCCTGCCTAAATATCTTCTGGGTTCTCTACTCCACACAGTCACTACTGGGATTTTTCTAAAACCTGCAATTTTGGGAAGAAAATACATTTGGTATCCTTTTATAATATATTTTTAAAAGAAAATGAAAACCCAGAGTCTCTCTAGGAATATTTAACCATTATAAGCCTTTTAGAGAAAAAGAAATGTTATTAAACAGCCCAAATATGTCATAGTAAAATTGTCAAGTGATAGCCTTACTTTTCAGAACTGAAGTAATGCTCTGCTTTTGGTATGAATGTTTGCTGACCTTTGTATTGCAGGATTCAATGTCAACCATTTAGACATTGCCCCGAGGTATGCCAGCATCTTAATGGGGATTTCTAATGGAGTCGGGACCTTGTCTGGAATGGTTTGCCCTATAATTGTCGGAGCAATGACAAAGAACAAGGTAAACGGCAATACGGTTTTCAAATCTTCCAGTTTAATACCATTGGTTTCAAGAAAAAGACCTTTCCATAGCACAACTTGCCAGAATATCCATATTAGAGTCTGGGACCTCTAGGGGATAGCATCCGGGAACTTGTAAATTTGAAGCATGCTTCACTATATGTTCACTAGGTCAATCCTTTTGTAGGCTAATGAATAGTGATTGTTCAAAGGAAGAAATAATTAGAAACTGGACACTTAAATGTTCTAGTTGTGCTGACTGTCACTGCCTGAATCCCTAATTTAAATCTTTCCGCTCAGAAGAGTTAGATAAGTCTACACACTACTCTGATTTAGCAAATTTCTTCTTTACAGACACGTGAAGAGTGGCAGTATGTCTTCCTCATTGCTGCTTTAGTTCATTATGGAGGTGTTATATTCTATGGCATATTTGCTTCAGGAGAGAAACAACCCTGGGCAGACCCTGAACAGACAAGTGAAGAGAAATGTGGCTTTATTCATGAAGATGAACTTGCTGAAGAGACAGGGGACATTACTCAGAATTATGTAAATTATGGTACCACCAAGTCTTATGGTGCTACAACCCAGGTCAACGGTGGCTGGCCTAATGGTTGGGAGAAAAAAGAGGAATTTGTACAAGAGGAAGTACAAGACTCATACAACTACAAGGAAGGAGATTATTCATAACAAACCTAAATATTGGGTATATTTTGTAGTGTTTGTGATTAAATTCATTGTGATTGTTTGCACACAGAAATAAAATGTGGTATAAACATGTAAACACATATCAAACAGGAAGGTCTTACTGTAAAAAAAATCCATTAAAGTGCAATCTGTATGAGTTGTGACATGTCATCACTTTCATTAGGTTATATTCGTTCTATAAACATTAGAGTTTTAAGGGTTTACTGGTCAAAACTATAGAGGCAATTAGATACTTACAGTATACAAGAGCTAAAACTCGTAACTAAGGATTAAAGCACAACTAAGCAACCAAGTTGGCACATCTAATGCTCTTTTTAGAAAGCCAAAATTACTTGATCATTAAAAATGCACTTATATATTTGTTACACTGTATTGAAAGAGATTGTGTTAAATACACACGTTTACTCAGTGCAATGTAAGAATTGTGTGTTTAGTCTAAGACAAGAGTTTTCTTAAAGAAGAAAGGTTGAGTCCTAGGCATTTACAGAGGATTGATCCAGTTCCTTCAATGGTAATTGTATCAAGCCCAAAGAACAAATAAGGCATAGTGGATGTTTATCGTGATTACATGCTGCAGGCTACTCTGTGATGAATAAAGGAATTATTTAGGAGTTTTATACTGAATGTTTGGGCACAAATTCTTATTTCTATTCTTTACAGAATCTTATGAAATTATAGGCATTATCATGTTCTTCCCTGCATTTATCAACTAATAAAAAAACAATACATAATGCTAAGCCTGACTTTTCATGCAGACTGTCAAATCCCTTTATCAGAAAACAAGCTTTATTATTCTTTTCTTTACAGTATACTCCAACTTTGTACTGGTGTCTTTAGAGAGAGAGAAAAAAACAATATAACCTAGAAAAAGATATAGTCTTTTACAAAATTCCAAAGAGAAATTTACTATGAGCAAGTAGCCCTATGAAAAAGGATGTATTTGTTTTGCAGAATATTTTGAAGCCAATAGAAAAAACAGAGAATAATTTAACCCTTATTCTTCCCTTAATAGCTTTCATATTTTTACACATCGTGCCACAGTTGTATACATAGATATGTTTATTGAAGATACTGTAATTATAGAAAATGTTGCTATTTTAGAAATCCCTGAAATAAAAAATGTATTTGTCTTTCGATTAAACCTAATAATAATGGACACTGAATATGAGTAACATATAAACTCACAATAAACCAAAGTGGCAAATAACTAGTGTTGGGTTGAAAGAAGCCAACAAGCATCACGCTTGTCTTTTTAGCATAACTCAACAGTGACTGCAACATTAGTGTACCAAGCAATAAGTGCAATGCATTATGAAGTGCATAATCTTCTAGACTATATATTAACCTTCATTTAGCTTGTTGTATATATTTGGGGTTGTTGGGATTAAAACCAAACTGAACCAAACTGAAGTTAGCAACACCAGACCACTTCTTAATACTCTAAAATGACAACAATGATCCATTTCTTAATTCAATCAAATGATTATTATTGTATGTAATAATCCATTCTGGATTCTTGGTCTGTTCATTGTATTGTGCTAGTGATTGGAAACCCTGCTACCGCAATATACAACTTGAGGATTGTTTCTTCTCCTTTTTTTTAATGCAAATCATACCTTGACCTTAAGAAAAAAATATTTTGCTTTGTGCCTCAAAGTGATGTAAAATGTGACCATAGCTTTTGCTGTGTTTAATGAAAAAGATGTGGACTGTGTCACTTTTGTTGCTGCAAAAAGTGTTAATAAAATGCTCTATTTATCCTTTTATATAAAAAAGGACCATTGTAGTTTCTTGTCATTTTTTTAGATGCACTTTAATATAGATGACTATAGTCACTGCAGGACAAATTCTGCTATTGACATGGAGATAATATCTTGTGTCCCAGCTGGGAGGTATGCTGAATACCCAATGTCCTGCATTGTCTACTCTCTCCTCTGACCACACACAAATGTGTGGCAGGAGAGGCATCTAACTCTAGATTGCTGTTCCTCCTCTCATAAGGTTGGCTGGAGTAGGCGTAGAAAAGAAAGGAGCAGGAGGATCAATGTGCCAGCCAATGCAGCGAAACTGGGAAAGGCAGACTAATCTGTGTTAGCTAAAGAGCTGGCATGGATCAGCATTCTCGAAAGAAAGTGAAAAGCATCACAGACTGCTGTTCTTGGAATTTGTTTCCTTTCTTGCTCCTGCAACACGACTCCTTAACTGAAACATAATGTTACTTTCCATCCATCTTTGGATAGACCCTAGAGGAATCAGTAAATTCAACAAATCATATATTAAAAGTAAGACTTTTTCTAACAAAATTTTTACTCTTCAATAATTTTCTTGCACCAAGTAGAAGAATGTAGAAACACCAAACTCAACAAAAGGCTGCAAAACACTAGATAGAGCAGTAATGGGTCCAGTGTTTCTTACCAATAGACTAGCTGTCACGAGATGCTGAGTCAGGTAACACACAAAGTTACTGCTAATTATTTTGATGGACTGGTGTGATGTTGCCATGGAAACTGGGAAAACATGGAAAGTGGGATAAATAGGGGCTATAAAAGTACAGTGGTATTTATCATGGTAAGTGGACAGCTGAGAAAATGAAAACTAATTAACAAAATCAAAATCAATTCTTAGTTTTCAGTCTAATCTTACAGATTCTCTGTCTTTCAAAATTGTTTCAATAATTTTCTTTCATTAATTTTCTTTCATTAAATACAGGTAATTTTTTCTCCTTATTAGCCTGACACCTTTTAATTACTTAGAACAAAGGAGAGACTTTCATCCAGGCATTAGACATTGCACCATTCAGCCTTGCACAACTCAGTGGGAACTCAACAATTGCCTTTAAACGCTACACCACTCTAAGATGCTCCACAATTCTCTTTCTAGCTCTCTGCTTCTGCTTTGACTCCTTTACTTCCTCTTTAAATGGCAGTGCAGAGGAATCCGTTCTTCTGGGAAGGAAAAGGAGCATGACAGGTTTTAAGATTTTTACTTCTTCACAGACTCCTATTCACAGAAAAATACAGGAACCAATCATCAGGAACACGACTAACAAAGAAGGGGAAATGGAGAAAATAATTGGGTTCTTGCAAAGGATGATTAAGTGAAGACGAGCAGCAACAGCTGGATCTGATTTAGGGAAAAGGAGAGTTGAGGGGACATGACCCTTCATCTAAACTCCTATATTTCTTCTCAGTAAATACGTTTATGTTTCTCCCTTGCTACTTCATTTTTATAAAGTAGCATTGCTAACATACACCTCTTCAGCTTCTTCTGAACTGTGCCCTTTCTGCCCAGAGATATCTCTTCTGCACTCAGATTCAAAGACTAGCTCTGCAGACACGTTGCGCTTGTATGGCGCAGTGTTCCTCTTTTGGAACCCTTAGCAGCTCAAATCAGCCCCGTTTATCAATCAGACTGTGTTCACAGTCACTTGATCATTTTGTCCTGTCACCTATTTCTGTTCTGTTCCCCTATCTGGTACTCTTTGCTCACTTACTATGTTAAAAAAAAGGAAAGGAATTGTTACTCACATTTTTATTTATCAGTTAGTTATCTTTTCAGTGAAGAACAATAAGTAAAAGGAAGGGGCAGAATCCAGGCTCCATTAAAATAATTAGAAAAGCTTTGAGTTTAGATGGGCTAGAATATCACCTCAAATGTTGACCTTTATGTCCTCAAATGATTTCATATAGATAGTATCTCTCAACCAGCGACAATTTTTAAAATATTTGAATCTGCATTGGTCAGATCCCTTCTGTTAACACACACTCTTTGTTGCAGAGATAAAGCTATCATAAAGTGCTCTTTGCTTTCAGAAGTGATCATGAAATTCAATGGACCAAATTTCATAAAAACACTTTTCTATGGGGGAAAAGAAAGCCTCAAGGTAAAGGTTGAATAACAGTGACAAAAGAATATCTGCAAATATGAATGAAGTCCTCTTTCAGCATGAAGCTAGGAATAGGAATGAATGTGGAAGTCAGAATAAATGTCACAGTTCAAAGCCGTACTGTTAGAAAGATAACATCACAGTCTTAGTTGCTGCCTCTGAAAGATGAAATGTTTTGTTCCTTTCAGGATAAGCTGTGAAGGAGTTTGAAGGCTAGTCTAAGTTAGATTAACTACTTAACAGCAGCTGCTTTTGTACTTATTTTGAATTTGTCTGTGTTTTTTGCTTGAATAATTTTCAATGCACTGGGAGATTTAAGAGTAAATAATCAAAGGACCTAGAACTACAGTCAGATATTTTAATTAGATATCTACGTATATCCTCTCTGATCCAGCTAATGTGTCTGATGTTGCTATTCTGGCCTTGCTTAACACTTTTTCACTCTGTTGTAACCCAAAACACGGCAAAGAATGAAACGTATTATATATTTACATATGTACAACTACTGAAGCCTGTGTATTTAGTTATACTGAGGTCAAGTGCTTAGACAGTATCTTCCACGTTTGAGAATTAATGTTACAAAATGATTGTTGGCAAATGCCTCCTCAGTAAGGCTTTTAACATCAGAAACACATAATCCTTGCAATTTTCACTTTAGGTGAAGCCACATTCTCTCAACTGCCATGGGTGAGGCATTAGAAAACAATACAAAATAAGATTTTGAGCGAGTCCAACCTCTGGCAGGCTCTTATCTATAAGAAAGTAAGTAGAGAATAAGTATGAAAGGCAGGTGTAATGTCACACATAAAATATAGGGATAAGTCAGAAATTACAGGAAATAAAGTGTTGTAGGAAATTTAAGGAAAAGCTTATAGAAGAGCTGCCAAATTTTCTCACTTTTGGTCATGGAAGTAGTGAGAAGAAAAAAACTGAACATGAAGTCCTAAATATCTGGTCCACCCTATCCTGAGTCTAAGGTATGATCAAAAATCGGCTCAGAAGCTGATTACCGCATTCTGGCTGCACCCTACCTTGTCCTACCATAGTTTCTAACACCTTTCTCTGTCAGGGCCATGAGGGCACTTATAGATCTTAATTGCCCTGAGCATCCTGCCCTTGGG